ACATACACATACACATACACATACACATACACATACACATACACATACACATACACATACACATACTGTTACGGGTCAGTTGTAGGTCAGATTAGAATAGGATAGAATGATCTAGAATTAGGGGAGAGCGTGAGTTGAGTTTACCCTAGAGTATAGTTAACCCCGGTGTGTTTGTGTATTGTTATCCCAAGGTCGAATGCGGTATAATAGCTGGAGTGAATGATTATCAGAAGTCAGTTGCTAGTGATTAGGACGAGAGCTAATTTTGAATATATATATTTTTAACGGAAAAAAAGTAGTGAACATAGTCACGAAGAGTTGTGTATCTAAAACCAACTTGAACGTAACACATATACATACACATACACATACGCTTACGCATACGCATACGCATAGGCATAGACATAGACAGAGACATAGACATAGACATAGACATAGACATAGACATAGGCATAGGCATAGGCATAGGCATAGGCATAGGCATAGGCATAGGCATAGGCATAGGCATAGGCATAGGCATAGGCATGGGCATGGGCATGGGCATGGGCATGGGCATGGGCATGGGCATGGGCATGGGCATGGGCATGGGCATGGGCATGGGCATGGGCATGGGCATAGGCATAGGCATAGGCATAGGCATAGGCATAGGCATAGGCATAGGCTTAGGCATAGGCATGGGCATGGGCATGGGCATGGGCATGGGCATGGGCATGGGCATGGGCATGGGCATGGGCATGGGCATGGGCATGGGCATGGGCATGGGCATGGGCATGGGCATGGGCATGGGCATGGGCATGGGCATGGGCATGGGCATGGGCATAGGCATAGGCATAGGCATAGGCATAGGCATAGGCATAGGCATAGGCATAGGAATAGGCATAGGCATAGGCATAGGCATAGGCATAGGCATAGGCATAGGCATAGGCATAGGCATAGGCATAGACATAGACATAGACATAGACATAGACATAGACATAGACATAGACATAGACATAGACATAGACATAGACATAGACATAGACATAGACATAGACATAGACATAGACATAGACATAGACAAAGACAAAGACAAAGACAAAGACAAAGACAAAGACAAAGACAAAGACATAGAGATAGACATAGACATAGACATAGACATAGACATAGACATAGACATAGACATAGACATAGACATAGACATAGACATAGACATAGACATAGACATAGACATAGACATAGACATAGACATAGACATAGACATAGACATAGACATAGACATAGACATAGACATAGACATAGACATAGACATAGACATAGACATAGACATAGACATAGACATAGACATAGACATAGACATAGACATAGACATAGACATAGACATAGACATAGACATAGACATAGACATAGACATAGACATAGACATAGACATAGACATAGACATAGACATAGACATAGACATAGACATAGACATTGACATAGACATAGACATAGACATAGACATAGACATAGACATAGACATAGACATAGACATAGACATAGACATAGACATAGACATAGACATAGACATAGACATAGACATAGACATAGACATGCACATGCACATGCACATGCACATGCACATGCACATGCACATGCTCATGCACATGCACATGCACATGCACATACACATACACATACACATACACATACACATACACATACACATACACATACACATACACATACACATACACATACACATACACATACACATACACATACACATACACATACACATACACATACACATACACATACACATACACATACACATACACATACACATACACATACACATACACATACACATACACATACACATACACATACACATACACATACACATACACATACACATACACATACACATACACATACACATACACATACACATACACATACACATACACATACACATACACATACACATACACATACACATACATATAGATGTCATTGTTCGGTTGACTATCATGGTGAGCCCGAAGAAGCACTACACCTCAGTGGGTGATATTGTGTTTCAGTAATGATTAGACGTCAGCGTCGCTAAACTAATTGATTTTTTTTGTTAGTTGATGGAATATGGCGCTAGTATTTAAATTTCCTCTAAATATCCATGATTGTTCCATGTATGACGGTTTGTGATATTCTGTTTTCTTTTTGAGCTTTTCTGGATCAAATAAAAGACCTTTAAACATTTACCTCGTATCTCATAATTTCCAACAAAGCCTTTATATGTATTGGGACCATGCTGTTTGAACACGATGAACATGGAGTTTCCCGTTGAAGCCATTAACCCTGGTGGTACTGACGAGCAGAAATTTCCAAATATCGGTGAAAATGTTGTGGGTCCGTCATATATTTTGAGGTAATCATGCTGGCAATCTTCTCCTAAGTCTGAAATACTGGAAAAAGGATAACGTGTCGTAGTTTTAATATGCTATCATTGTGATGGAACTTACAATTGCAAATAATTGTATTCTGAAATATTTAACAAATACTAAAATACGAGGTTTTAATTTATTAAAAAAAAACAACTTAAAACAACGACAACTTACTCAAGGAGAATATAACTGTCAGCATCGCCCTGTATAGTCCAGGTGTATCTCATCTTGTGCAGGTTGCCAAACGGATATCCAGGGCTAGAGATGTTACCTTGAGGATCGCTCAGTGTGATGTGGTTGTCTACGTTTGTAATATTTAAATTATGTCAGTTTTAATATTTGAATCATGTTAAAGAATTTTATCTTTAAATGTAATTAAAATGTAGATAATGTTATATAGAGTTGCATGTGCAAGAATTTAGAAAAGTGTGTTCATCTTTAAGCGTTTAAACAATTTTAACACTAAAGTTTGAGTTTAAAGATACTTCCCATTTCTGATTAAGCTTATAGCCAAAGTGAAGAAGATATAATGAAACTCAGAAACATGAGAACGAAAAAAATAGAATTAGTTAATTTGTTCTGTTAAACACTATTACTAAGCTTTTAGAGAATGATAATTTAACGCAACTAAGTAGAAACGCAGGTTGTAAGAGCGGGGGTGAAAATAGAGACAGCAACTGCAAAGTGTGTAAATTTAAAAAAAAGCAAACATACTTTTGACTCGATCCAACATCTGAGTGCAAAAACATATCGATTGCATTTTTTTTTATTTGAATTGATAACTTTTTGAGAAAACTACACATCAGTTCCAAGAAATGGATGGAGAATAAAACAAATTACAATGAAAGATGTAAAATTACAAAGTTATTTAAGTGGATGTTGTTTCAAGCATAAAGCAAGCTATACTAATTTTTTTATTTTGTTTTCTTTTCGACAAAGAATGGTATATAGCAAACAATTCATGATTCGCTGTAAATTGTTTCAGACAAACCAAACAGGTCGATTTTTTAGGACGCCAAATAGTTCAAACGTATAGCAGCATGATCATAAATGCATCCAACAATGGAAAAAGGAAGAAGTTCTTAACTTTAAAGAAGACATTATAGTTCTTTTGAAAATACAACAGCAGATGGTAGAGAAGACCTGGTGTCATCCAACTTCGGTCTAGAAAGCAATAGGCAAAAGACAAAGGACATGGAGAAAATGTTCATTAATATTCATGCCCATTGGGTGTCCTCTTCAATGCAGGAGGTAAATTAATTGTGTGGCCTTTGCGGTATTTTAGGTGAGCAAGACGGACATTCACAGCAGTGAAGAAAGTTAGGCAAAACTTTATAATATGAGTTCATTAATAGCTGCACTTTAAACCTGAATGCGAATAAAAATTGAACGACAAATTTTGCTTACTATATTGAATATAATTAAAACATAATAGAAGATACAGGCATTGACAAATAACTTCGTAGAAACAAAGAAAGAAAGATGGTTTTTGATCGGACTCATTTTAACTAAAGCATATAAACAGGTACATTAAACATGCTATTTTTGTTCTTTTTCTTCGTTCCTAATTCTAGTGGTGTAAGCGATTCCTTTCAAGAGAATTGGTTCCATAGCCTTTGTTCAAAAAAGAACAAACCACAAGGCCGCAGCTGTTTGATTTTGGAGTTGTCTCTCCTAAAACAGTTGATGACCCTCACCCATCGATTCATCTGTCAAACTTTTCAGTTTAACAACCATGAGATTCACCAACTTGAGCACGTCGATCCCTGACAAGCTATGAAAGGGAAAGAAAAACAGAGATATACAGCCAATCTGCCAATAACCGGGTGAAGCGAATGTGAGCCAACATAATCAGAATTGTTTGCACTGGGAAACATGGGAATATGGTTCTGTTCTGAGGACAAAGATGTTTAGGCGACAATTTCTTAAACACCGGTGACGGGCTGAAAGTAAGTGTGCAACTGCAAAGGTTTCTCAGTGATATAATCATTTTAAAAAAACTGAAATGTTAAATTTGACGTCATTATTGAAAAACTGCAATGATAAAAATTGATGGGCGGAGTAGCGGCTTCATATCTATGGAACTAGAATATTGTAGCTTAGATGTTTAAAATATTTTGTTCTTTAACGAAGGTTGTTTAAATTTTAGTGGAGCTTTCTCCTTCTTCTTCTACTTCTTCGTTCTTAATTTTTAGTGTGAAAGGGATCGAGCCTTATCTTTTCCGTTGAGAAACCATGAGCTTTACCGACTCAACCACGCCGACCCCGCTTTATCCTTCATAAGTGCCAATCCTGCCCAATGTGTTTAATTGTTAAAATTTAACCCACTTTATCCCAATATTATTAGGCACTGAATTACTATTGATTTTCTTTTAAAGGGAATAATTTTAAAATATTATTGACTTTAAAAAAAAGTCACAAATTTGGAATGCTATAATAATTTCATTGGCCAATATATTTATTGTTTATTTAAACTGAATATACCATTTATGTTCAATTAGTCATCTCAAACGTCTCGCAACGTTTGAATGTTGTATACATCATGGTAGGCTATGTAACATTATGAAATAACTAAACATCTGACTGGTACATTTAATTTACCCATTTGAGACAATATTATAATAGGTCTTAACTGTAATGTTAATAAACATAAACCATTTTTTTATATTCATAATTTATGTACAATGTCATGGTAAAAAAAAACCTACAACAATAGTGCGTATACTATGTCGTTGAACTGTTGATATTTATCTCGAGGATAACCATGTTTGCACCATATTCACATCTATTGCGTAGACCGATTATGCTACCCGGCGCATCAATATTGAACAGATCTAAGAGTGGAATTTATCTCTCTACATTAATTTCATTTATAGATTACGAGAAGGTCTATTTGTTTTAGGATATAGAGTCTATGTGATGTACATCCGTCGGGCGGTAGGTCGGGTACTGTGGCTGCCTCTTCTGCAATGCCTTGTCATCTGTCCTGTGCTATGATGCGATCACTTAGTCTGAATAAGTCCCTGATATAGCGCAGCCAACTTCGTATTTGTTCTCATCAGATAAAGTCTAGTAATTGTATGTTGGTTGAATTTGCAGCTTCAATGTGTTGCCAAACTAGTGATGTCTCTATTGCCTGCAACTGCAAAACAGTAAAAAACGCTGGCTGTGCTATCCCAAATAATCTCAACACTTCAGAAAAAATCTTGGGCATCATTCAAGTTCACCAATTCAGCCAAGTAGCTTGAGTTACGATCTTACGAGCGACAAAGCTACACTAAATTAGAAAAAAAAATTAAAGATCTACTCAACGTTTCCGTTTTTTTTAAAATGCATTGTCCTTTATTTAGGATGAAATACAATTTAGTTTCAAAATAACTATTTTAAACATATTTTATAAAATTAACTAACTATTTCTAGAAATATTGTTATTGTAAAACTAAATTATGAAATGATTTTTTGCTTACTAAAATAAATCTATCAATAGTTGCATAACATGTTGTTATAGTGAAGAACAGGAGTACATGAAAAAAAAGGTTTGCTTTTATTTTCTGGGATTTATAAAAAAAACATTTTAAGAATGTGTAATCTACTAAGTTTAATTTTAAATTTAGTTTGACATTATAATAAAGTAACTATATATTTCTAGACGAATCGCGATACAGTTATAAAATAACAATAATAAGTCAGTGATATAATATAAAATTTAAACGGGTACAGAGTTACATTTTTTTTTCGCGGAGTAGTCGTGAATTTAAAATCCTGGATTGAGGGGGAAAGGGGACTGAGCAAAATATATATTTACTATGTATATATAAATTTTTTTTTTACCAATTTTTTTTGTGGGTCAGGGTGAGATGAAGAAATGTTTGAAACACTAAACTGGGTAAACACACCATTATACAAGTAGAATACAATTATACTGTTTTAAATGTCATTTGATTAGCCGAGAGTATCAGCTTTAAATGACGTGATATTATCTAAAACATATTTACCTTTGATTTCGTAATTTGCATAAAATCCTTTATGTGTGTTCAGTCCATTTGCTTTGTACTCCAGATATAAATAGTTACTGGTTGATTCTATTGTCCATGGTTTTGATGAGCAGAAAGTCCCAATCAATGTTGAATTATTTGATGGACCGTCGTGTATTGTAAGGTTTTCATGAACACAATCATCCCCAAAATCAAAATCCGAAACACTGAATTCGATATAATTTAATACAATGTTATTCAATTTTTATTTATGAGTAATCACAAAAAATGTTTCCAAATTATAAATATTCATTTTTATTGATTACATCATACAACGAAACATAAAATAAGTTTAATATTATTTTCGATGCATTCTATTACACAAAAACCAACGTACTTGAGAACAATGTAAGTATATGCGTTGCCCTGTATAGTCCAGGTGTAAAACATGTTCCCCAGGCAACCAATTGGATATCCAGGACTAGAGATGACACCTTTAGGTTCGTTCAGTATGGTGTGCGTATCTGCATTGGTCAAATCATGCAAATTGTCATTAAAGAAAATAAATGAGTGCCAATTTTGATAATGAAAGCATACTGAATTTTCAGCCGATGTTGCTATAGCTATGTTATGTGTAATATAAGCATATTTTTATTTTCCCGTTTTGGCCCAAGACACGCGAGGAAGAAAAAGTAGTGTTCATCTGTTTCAAAGACCTCGGTGGTCAGCACTTTATACAATCGCCTTCGCTAAGGTGTGACATTTTGATAATAGAAATAAAATATAATAAATTACAACGTGAGAAAACATAGCTATAGATTTATTTAAAATGATCAGAATAATGTTTTGTAGCAATAGTTTGCTAGTTTGGTCGAATATTCGAATCATTTATGAACAAAGTAATATATCAATTATATTTCTTACATGTATGTGTATTATATGTTGTTATTTTTCTAGTGCATGGTTCTTAACACATTTGTCTTTCAAGTGTTCGAACAAGTTTTTGTCTGATATGCAGATACATCTGCTCCAAAATTTTGATTCTTACCTTGTGAATAAAACTCCCCATAAAATCCTCTACCTGTATCAAAAGTGACAAACAAGTTGTTTGTTGTCGATACCATGACAGGTGAGTCTCTCCTACCACAAACTTTTCCAAAACTTCGATCGTTTTCAGTATCTCCGTCGTAAACGGTGATGACGTCGTAAGAACAAGACTCTGTTTCCACAAACGATATGCTACAAACAAAAATATGTTTTAAGAACAAAGAGGTTTAGTACAATGTCACCTACGTAAAATTACAAAGTTTTAGCAATGTTAGTATTATAAATACCTACTTTAAAATTATATTAGCTTTAGCTCGAGTTGATAGAGTCCATGTATATTCCTTCTTTTCCAAATATAGTAAGGGATATCCAGGACTTGCCAACTTGCCCGACCCATAAAGTGTACAGCTTCTGTCTGTTTTAAGTTATATGAAAAAGTACTATACAACAGTGGTGTAGCAAGGTCGGGTGTTAGCCGGAGCGCTTAATGGTGTCACCCCCGCCCTAGAAGCGTAGCGACCTTTCCCGGGGACAAATTAATTTTCGATTTGCACACCCCCCCCTCAAACTTTCGATTAGCCCCCCATCAAACTTTCGATTTGCAACCCCCCCCCCCCCCCCCCTTAAACTTTCGATTTGCACCCCCGCCTCCACGCAAAACTTTCGATTTGCACCTCTTAAAAGACTATTTAACACTCTAATTAATCACTTAATTAAGTGGACTTATCTCTCTATATAAATTTCTCAATATATTTTGCTATTTTTTGCCTTGGTGTCACCCCCCTAAATGGTGTCACCAATGCGGTCGGCACCCCCCCCCCCCCTCGCTACGCCTGTTCTATACAACATACAGATGCAATTAACAGTATTTGTTAACAGCTAATAAAAAGTTTATTATTATATTCTCGTATACAGAGTTTAGAGGAAGTATTGTTATCCTGCACAAAAATCACATGACATTTTGACACGATTTTTACCTCAGCTTTTCATCATATGCGGAGTATATATGGGCTTATTTTTGTGTGAAGGCTACGACACGAGCATGTTCAGGTAATTAGAATAAATTTCGTATATAAATACAAGATCGTATATTGGAATTACTAGCAAATGTTTAGTGACCTCAAAAATTCAAGGTTGTACCTTATGTCATAATCCTAAAATACTCATAGGTTAAGTGCCTTTTCATTTAGGTTTTAACGAAAATTGAAATATAGGTATAAGATTTTATTCCCTTCGTTCTATCAAAATTTAAACGATTTCCGGTAAACAAAAGTATTACTTAATGCTATTAACAGTTCTGAATAACTGATTACTCCAACCGGACATATTTCTTTAATTTTTGTATACGCAGATCAAGTGTCGATGACAACGTACTGTGACATAAAATTCGACGTAATTATATATTTAATTAAAATAAAAAAGATAAATAATTTTTTTAATAAAGTACTAAGTTTTCGTTCAATCAAAATACATGATAATGTTATTAACTGTATATAAATATAATGATAACAAAGTAACTTTTGTAAATATGTGTAATGTATGTGTGAGGAAACTATAAGCTTTAAATAGCATTATGTGTAATATTAAAAATAAAATGCATAATAGGTATATATTATTACAGGCTATATCTTAAATTTTAAATGTTTTACTCCATTCTGATATAATTAATCATTATCAAATATTGTAGTATTGAACAATTACCTCGTATCTCATAATTTCCATAAAAGCCTTTATATGTGTTTGACCTATTCGTTTTTAACACAACCAACATGGAGTTTCCTGTTGAAGCCATTAACCCCGGTGGTGTTGACGAGCAGAAATTCCCAAATGGTGTAGATCCGTCATAGATTCTTAGGTAGTCATACTGGCAGTCTTCTCCTGAGTCTGAAATACTGGGAAAACCATACCTAATTTTATTTTAAACTTGCTGTCATTGTGATAGAACTTACTGTTGCAAATTACTGTTTTCTCAAATATTTGGCGCATACTAAAATACGGGCTTTAATTTACAAAATGTAAATTAATACCCCGTATTTTACAAAATGTAAATTAAAAAAGGCAACCTACTTAAGGACGATATAAGTGTCATCTTTGCCCTGTATAGTCCAGGTGTACATCATGTTGTCAAGTTTGCCAAACGGATATCCCGGGCTGGAGATATTACCTTGAGACTTGTTCAGTGTGGTGTGGTTATCTGTGGTGGTCACATTTAACTTATGTCAAGTTTTCTAACAGCTTTAAAGACTTATAGTTTGATTAATTTTTAATAGATATTTCATAGTATTGATGAAGTAAAAAATGTATTTTAAATATAAATTACAACAATAGAAAACTATATTTAATATGAAGTTCATGTTCAAATCACATTTGAGAATAAACTATACAACGCCCTAAAAATTATATCTATGTCTAAGCGATTTCATTATATTATCTCAAGTCATAATTTTTTTTTAAATTTTTAAAATGCTTTTCAGGTGTTAGGTTTCCTTCATATCCCAAAGTATAGTCTAGGTGTATATCATGTTGTCAAGTTTGCCAAACGAATATCCAGGGCTGGAGATATTACCTTGAGACTCGTTCAGTATGATGTGGTCATCTGTGGTTGTCACATTTAACTTTTGTCAGTTATTCCAACAATTTTAAAGACGTATCGTTTAATGAAATTCCATTACATAATATTTCGTAATTTTGATGAAGTAAAAAATGTATTTTAAATAAATATTAAAATCGTCTAAAACTATTTTTAAAAAGAAAATCATATAAGAAAATCACAATAGAGCAAAAACGATATAGCATCCAAAGAAAATCATCTAGTTTAAAGCGATTTTATTATATATTTTAGAAAATCAACTACTTTTTTTTAAAACTTATTTGTGAAGCTCTGCTTTTATAGCAATGTGCTGTTGTCATATTTTATTAATTAATGCCATTAATTAATGCCAGATTTGATATTGATACAATTTTGTAGACATGTAATTCCAATAGATAATGTTAAAAATTACAACAGGAATAAATATTTAATTTCAAATTTACTTTGCAACTATTAAGTAAGAGTTAAATAGAAAATTAGAAAATTTAATAACTTGAAATTATAAAATTATTAACTGGCTGTCAGTCATCCAACGATCAGGTGAAAGAAGAGGTTGTACATTCGTCCATCCTTCAAACTAACAGACATTGTTCTTCATTTTAGTTTAAAATTAAAACTCATACTTTTCAAATGATAATTAACATTAGATTTCTGGATAACGTAATTATTTTAGATACAGCATGGGACAAATGTGTCCCTATTTTCCAGAAGAGTGCAACTGTCGATAATAGGCTGGGTTATGAATAATATCAATTTTTTTTATTTTAAAATGATTTATGGTTGCTCTGTTAAATTCGAAATGAAAAATTGGAATAATTAGAACACACTTATGTCCCTTTTGATTGTATAGGTATCTAAGAATTGAGCTTCTCGAAGCAGTTATATATGATGTTATATAACATACATGAACGTTTCAGACCATATTGTTCGTTCTGTTCTCATTCTTCTCTCTTGCACTTTGCGCCCACCTCATGTGTTTTTCTTTTTTGAGTTATCAAATTGCATTTAGATTGTGGGGTTGGAGAGAAATTCTTGTCGCATTTAACAGGTCTAGAGGTGATCCTTCCTTTATGTAATCCATAAATGAGAGCTACTGCTATCATTTGTCTATGTTTACGCTGGGTTATTTTATTGAATGAATGATAGCGTTTTATATCTCTCACTTACGTCTAAATGCCATTTAGATTTCAGATATATATACATATATATATATATATATATATATATATATATATATATATATATATATATACTCACATATCTGATGATATATCAGTTTATATCGCATTAGCAAGTTATGACACCTGTAGATCAGGTTCAGAGTACCAGTTGTCTCAATTTTGGAAGTGTATGATCACCATCGCTAATTTTATTCCTAAAATTTCACGTTTCTTATAAATCCGTAGGGATGAGTAATTTTCTTATGTTTTATTTACAGTTCATATGGTCGACAATGACAATTAACATATATTGTTATCTTCCCAAAAATTGTAGACCAATAAATGTAGACAAATAATGTTTTCCGATGTCTCCACTCGAAAACAACAACTTGCTCTAGTCTCCTTTTTCAAACCTCACGAGGACGTTTGGTTGTTCGTGGTTTGGGCAAATCCAGGTGTACTGATGCTATAGATACGTGTCAGCTTAATCTGTATGATAGTTTTAAAATCGTCTATAATCGCTCCCTAAAAGGGGGATAGCTAGTGTGCGTCGCGTATTTTATGCGCGCTGTGTTTTTGAAGTATTATACAAGATTATGTGTATTTTAGACTATTGTTTACGCTCAGGCCACGACAACCCAACCTTCTTAATTTCTCGTTAGGGCGATCTCACTCATGACGTAATTTGTCTTAAATTACACTGAATTCCACACCAGATTCTGACTATGGTTATTATTAACTGTCTTTCTGAGGATGTGTCTAACTAAACCCGTTTTCCTAGCTATAGATATCTTCTCCAATGTTATTTTTTAATTTATCCTCATGAGTGCAGTTTGAACATGTCAAATATTGTTTAAAGTGTTATATGTGTGCCTTGTTTTTAGTTGCTTTTTGTGATAATTCCGCATGCTATTTAGTTCGTTAATATTCAGGTAATTATTATGTGTGCTCCTGTTCGTTATTTTCCAGTATCGAGTCACGGAGTCGTTAGCTGGGGACAGCCACTCTTCTAGGAGAGACAACTCCAAAATTAAAACAACTGCTGCCTTGTAGTTTGTTCTTGGTTGGACAAAGGCTATGGAAGCAAATCCAAAAAGAAAAGTAGGCTGAAATCGGAGTCAATGGCCTCAATGGCGCATAACCAGTTGACAAGTAACGCTTAATTGTGTTGGAGGCGTGGTCGAGTCGGCAAAAACTCATGTTTGATAAATTCGAACAAAACCCACTGGCAGATAAATCTCGATCCCCTTCAACACTTATAATTAAGAACGAAGAAGAAGGTTTTATTACTGTTTTGATTGTTTGTCTTTTGTTATCACTTGGATGT